AGTAACTATCGGGAGGAAGTGGGAGGGGAGCTGTTGCATTGTGGGAAATTGCAGTCCATGTCATGAGACAAAGTGTATGTGAGCTGCTATATGGAAAGTGAATTTGCTCTGTAACGTTTCACCCAAATTACAAAAAGACCTTGTTAAAGTGTAAGAAGCAAAGATACCACTTTGAAGACTAATATAAGCCTGACCCAAGCCAGTATTTTCAATGGCCTCACATGCATGTAAAAACAATGAATAAAGACCACAGAAGAATTGATGCATCTGAACTGTGGCGTTGGTGAAGAATATTGAATGTCCCATGGCCCGCTAAAAGAATGGACCAATCTGTCCTGGAGTAAGTTCAGCCAGAATGCTCCTTAGAAGCGAGAATGGCCAGCCTTCATGGCTTGTACTTTGGTCATGTTGTCAGTAGGGACCACTCCCTGGAGAAGGATATCACGCTTGGCAAAGGGTCATTGAAAAAGTGGAAGGCCTTCAATGAGATGGAGGGACACAGTGGCTGCGATGATGGGCTCAAGTATAGCAAATACCGTGAGGCTGGTTCAGAACCGGGCAGGGTTTCGTTCTGTGGCACATACGGTCACGATGAGTCGGAACCCACTTGATAGCATCTGACAAAAACAGCACTTTTGTGTGCATCTAAAATTCTCCATAAATACAAAGCTTGAGGGAGTGAGTCACTGTAGCCTTTTTTTCTGTAGAACACGCACGTCCATCCCAGGTCAGTTTGTCCAGAGTCTCTGCTGTGGCGGCTCACACGTTGCTGTGAGGTGGCAGCGATGCCGCTTTCAGCATTTCCAATACCAGCAGGGCCACCCAAGGTTACAGCAGCTTCCAGACTAAGACCAGTAAGAAAGGCCTGAGGATCTATTTCCAAAACTCAGCCAGTGAAAATCCTATGTGTCCCGAGAACACTGTCCGGTACAGTGCTGCAGGATGAGCCTCTGGCCAGAAGGCACTCAGTATAAGCAGTGACCGCACACCAACCACAGGTCGTGAAGACAGGCACGGCCAGCAGCGTTTGGTTGTGTTGTACCTGGGGTCACCATGTGTCGCGGCGGAGCCAGCTGCATGACAACAGGCAACAGCATATCAAAGTCAAGACCCAAATATGTGCTGTCCGGACGCGAGCGGGAGCACCCAGAGCTCCCACCCAGAGTTACAGCCGCCATTACAACCAGTGGTGCCGAGAAGGGAACCCCAGGCTCGAGGGCAGGCAGGCCCACCCTGGAAGCCCCTCCCACTCACCCTGCCTGCACCCGCTCCCCAGCTTCCCTGAAGACAGTAAATCGGAGGTGCAGCCAGCCCCCTCCCTCGGGGTTTCCTGGGTCTGTTGCACTTTGGCCACAGGTTCTGGAAGGAGCTGCAGTGGGGGAGGGGCAGCCGCGTCTGGACTCCTGACCAGACAAACCAGTTCCTTCAGCCGCCACCTTGTTAGAGGGACAGTCACTGGTCCATTCTCCTCCAACTGCAAATCCACTTCTGGCTGCCCTGCTGGAGCGGGGGTCACTTAAGCCCGGCAGGGAGCAGAGCCACGCAAGGTCCCAGTGCTCACCGTCCACTCCCCTAGCCTAGCACTCTCCCCGTGTCAGCGGGCAGAGCTGATGCTGGCAAACGCAGACACTTCCAGGGCTGCTTCCTGCTGTAGGCTCTTTGTTCGCATGAACGCACTTAGTACTCCCAACTACCCTGCGGGTCCTAGTGCCTAAGGCATCTGACTGCTAACAAGAAGGCCAAACCCCCCAGCCACTCCTCGGAAGGAAGGTTGGGCAGTCTACTTCCGTAGTGATACTGCCTCAGAAACCCAAG